ACGGACGCGTCATGGGCAAACGACAGCAGTGAAGCTCTTCATGGGGCCACGATACGTGTGCCATGCGGACTGCGCCACTGGGACCTCAGGTGGAGCTCCTTATGGGGCCACGAAACGTTTGGGGAGTGTTCCAACAATGGAGTCGCGCCGCCATGCGGACTGCGCCACTGGGACCTCAGGTGGAGCTCCCTATGGGGCCGCGAAACGTGCGAGGGGTGTGCCCCAATATGGCGGCGCCGCCATGCGGACTGCGCCACTGGGACCGAAACGTGTGAGGGGGTTCCAAATGGGGCGGCGCTGCCATGCGGACTGCTCCACTGGGACCTTAGGTGGAGCTCCTTGTGGGGCCGCGCAACGCGTGAGGGGTGTGCCAAAATGGGGCGGCGCCACCATGCGGACTGCGCCACTGGGACTTGAGGTGGGGCTCCCTATGGTGCCACGCAACGTGTGAGGGGGGGGGGCCAAAATACGGCGGCGCCGCCATGCGGACTGCGCCACTGGGGCCTTAGGTGGTGCTCCCTATCGGGCCGCGAAACGCGTGAGGGGTGGGTGTGCCAACATGGGGCGGCGCGGCCATGCGGACTGCGCCACCCGGACCTTAGGGGGAGCTCCCTATGGTGCCACGAAACGTGTGAGGGGTGTGCCAAAATGGTGCGGCGCCGCCATGCGGACTGCGCCACTGGGACCTTAGGTGGAGCTCCCTATGGGACCGCTAAACGTGTGAGGGGTGTGACGAAGACGATGACGATGATGGTGATGATGACGATGATGGCGATGATGACGGCCGTGATGATGGCGATGATGATGGCCATGATAATGATGATGATGATGATGATGATGATGATGATGATGATGATGATGATGATGATGATGATGCTGCCGATGCTGATGCTGGTGCTGATGCTGATGCTGAAGATGATGATGGTGCTGATGATGCTGATAGTGATGATGATGATGATGATGATGATGATGATGGTGATGGTGATGGTGATGGTGATGGTGATGATGATGATGATGATGATGATGATGATGATGATGATGATGATGATGATGATGATGATGATGATGATGATGATGATGATGATGATGATGATGATGATGATGATGATGATGATGATGGGGGAGGGGGGAGGGGAGGGGGGGGGAGGAGAGGAGGAGGAGGAGGAGGAGGAGGAGGAGGAGGAGGAGGAGGAGGAGGAGGAGGAGGAGGAGTGACGCCCGGCGCTGTCCCTTCAAAACGAGGGCCCAACACCACAGGATGACTGGGGAAAACATAGCCTGGCGAAGGACTCAACCATATGCAGTTGTGAGTATCGCAATTGTAATATCGTCTTCGGTGGCGCTCCTTATGGGGCCACGAACCGCATGAGGGGCGCGCCGACGTTTGTGGCGGGGCACACAACACGAGCGAAGACCATTGGTCTGAGCACGAGAGACTGAGCGCGGGTGAGTCTGAGCGCGAGGGAGTCTGATTGGGAATGAGACTGCGTGCAACGAGTCTATTTGTATGAATGCGAGCATGGCTACACCTAGTGCAATTGCACATGAATGTGAACGATTTGGGTATGCCTGGCTCTGAGTACACGTGGCACTGAGCGTGGCTGCCACATGGAGCTCCCCAGGAAACCCCGATGGCAGCGCCCGCGCCCCATGTCGGCCCGCCCTTCACGAGGTTCGCGCCCGTTTCCTTCCCTTGTTTGTCTCCCTCTCTGCCCCTGCGCTCCAAGGTCCAAGGCTGCAAACGCAGCGCAGCGCGCAGTCCCCGCGACGCGCGCCGATCGGCCCGAAGGGGTCCCAGCGACGCGCGCGGGACGTCCGCTGCGCGGAGCAAAGAGGGCTAGCTGGCTGGCTGATGGCGGGCGAAGATCTCGCCGCTGGGCAGAACGACGACGGGCGAGCGAGGCGCTGGGCAGAGCGCCGCGCGGAAGTCCCGCGACGCGCGCTGGTCGCCCCGAGAGGGTCCCACCGACGCGCGCGGGTCTTCCGCGGCGCGGAGCAAAGAGGGCTAGTTGGCTGGCTGATGGCGGGCAAAGATCCCGCCGCTGGGCAGAGCGACGACGGGCGAGCGAGGCGCTAGGCAGAGCGCCGCGCGGAAGTCCCGCGACGCGCGCTGGTCGCCCCGAGAGGGTCCCAGCGACGCGCGCGGGTCGTCCGCGGCGCGAGGCCAAACAGTCGGGCAGTCGAGAGAAGGCGTGGCACGGGCGGGCCGCTCCTCAGGTCACGCCCCGCGGATAAACTCAGTGAAGTCCAGCTCCCTGGCGAGGACCGTCGCCTCCCTCCCGCGCCGTTTCGCGCGCGCCGCTGACTGCTCCAGCTATTTCCGCGGGCCCTTTGGCGGCCCCGCCAGGAAGACTTCGATGCGCGGCGCCCGCATGAGCAGGAGGTCCTCGTGCCGGGTGGCGCGCGGCAGCGCGTAGAGCTCCAGCCACCAGTCGTCGTCCGCCTCTTTGCCGTTCCCGACCTCGTGGCGGCCGCAGTCCAGGATCACGCCTGGGCGATGCCGACCGAGGGGGCAGCGCGCCGGACAGCCGACGGCCCAAGGCGAGAGTCCACAGGACCAAAAAAAGGTTTGGGCGCCCAGTCGGTTCGGCCGTAGACTGCCCGGGAGTGCCGTTCCCTCGCCCCGTCGCTTTCTCGCACGGTGCGCCCCTGGCACGCCGCCGTGGTGATGCCCTGCCGCGCGAGAGCTGGAAGCTCGTCCGGGTGGCCCTTGAAGTGCGGCCTTCAGTGGAGCGGGCCGCGATGCGTGCCGAAATGGATGTGGGGACGCATGCGGGCACACCCGCCGAGACCTTCGGTGGAACTCCCTCAGGGGCCACGAAACGTGTGAGGGGTGTGCCGACATGGGTGTGGAGGACGCAGGACGCGTGCGGGCTCACCCACGGTGACCTTCGGTGGAGCTCGCTATGGGGCCACGAAGCATGCAAGGGGGTGCCAAAATCGGTCGGCGCCGCCACGCGAACTGCGCCACTGGGACCTTCGGTGGAGCTCCCGATGGGGCCACGAAGCGTGTGAGGGGTGTGCCCAAATGGGGCGGCGCTGCCATGCGCAGTTCGCCAGCCGAGCGTTAGGTGGAGCCCCCTTATGGGGCCACGAAGCGTGAGGGATGTGCCCAAACCCGGTGGAGCTCCTTACGGGGCCACGAAACGTGTGAGGGGTGTACCACAATGGGGCAGCGCCGCCATGCAGACTGCGACACTGGGACCTTAGGTGGCGCTCCCTATGGGGCCATGAAACGTGTGAGGGGTGTGCCCACATGGGGCGGTGCTGCCACGCGGATTGCGCCATTGCGACCTTTGGTGGGGCTCCTTCTGGGGCCACGAAGCGTGCAAGGTGTGTGCCAGGATTGGGCGGCGCCGCCATGCGAATTGCACCACTAGGACCTTAAGTGGAAGTCCCTATGGGGCCACGAAGCGTGTGAGGGGTGTGCCCAAATCGGTCGGCGCCGCCACGCGAACTGCGCCACCGGGACCTCAGATGGAGTTTGCAGATTGTGCCACTAAACGTGCGAGGGGTGTGCCAGAGTGGGGCGGCGCCGCCATGCGAATTGCACCAGTGGGACCTTAGGTGGAGTTCCCTATGGGGCCACGAAACGTGTGAGGGGTGTGCCAGAATGGAGCGGCGCCGCCATGCGAACTGCGCCATGAGGACCTCAAGTGGTGCTCCCTTTGGGGCCACGAAGAGGTGTGTGTGTGTGCCAAAATGGGGCGGCGCCGCCATGCGAACTGCGCCATTTGGACCTTAGGTCGAGTTCTTTATGGGGCCACGAAACGTGTGAGGACTGTGCCGAAGTGGTAGGGTGACGGGAGGAGAGAGGAGGGAGAAGCAGGAGGAAAGGAGGAGGAGAGGAGAAGAGAAGAGGATATGAGAAGAGGAGAGGAGGGTCGCGGGGGCAGTCTTTTCACAACGAGGACCCAACACCACAGGATGGTTGGGAATGATGACCCCCTCCCGAACACCTACTGCCATTAATTCGCCGCCGGATAATGATTATTTGACTTGTCCAGGCCTGGAAATATTCCACGGAAACCAGAGGGATGCTATTGATATATGATCCCGGGCTCCAGGCCCAAGGCCGTCCCCCAGATGGGATGGGTCCCAGGGTCCTTCGGGCCATCACTTCCACATGGAATGGGAGGGCGACGACAAAGAAGAGGACGAAAACGAGGACGGCGACGACGACGACGGCGAAGACACCTTCCGCTCCGGTTCCCTGTAGTACCGCCACACCACGCCACACCCAGAGGGAGGCGACGACGGGGAAGACCCCGTCGACGACGATGTTGTTTTTCCTCCTCCCTCCGCCCCTCAAGAGAGAGCCCCAAGAGCTCCAAGAGCGGTCCAAGAGGTTTCCAAAACAGCACAACAGTGCTCCAAGACGCCCAAGATGACCTCAAGCTGGCGGTCGCGGGGACGCCCCCGGCGGTCCGATGTGCCCCGACGTTGCTTTGGTTTCTGCATGCGCACTACAGCGCTGGGAATAACTGTTTCTAGAATTGTCCCCCGGCATCGTTTTTTGACTTGTTTTCAAACATTGTGGGCGGCGCCTTTGCGCGCCGGGAGAGGGTTGGTGGGAGGGAGTCTTCCGTCGGGCAGGATCGGGACAGATCGCCTCAGAGTTTTCCAACACGCTCTCAGAGACGGCCGCGGCGCCCGACGCATCGCCCAGAACCGCCGGACCTCTTCGACCCCCGACTTGCTCCGACCTGACTTGGTCGCGATCCTGGCCTCGTCCCACGTCTGGCGCGAGAGGATATCTGCCGTCCGCGCGCGTCCAGAGTCTTTCTGCTTGCTCTGCATCAAGGGCGGAAAAACCACCCAGACCCCATAACTGGCGTTTACTAAACGGCCCTGGGCGTTTTCTAAGTAGCCCTGCCCTCTTCGATTCCTTCCTTGAGTGCGTTTACTACACTGCTTCGCGTGTCGGGGTGCTTACTATGAGGGTGGATGTTCTGCTCTCTATTCTGCTTGCTCTGCATGTGCTCCCCCGCCCTCCCCAGGCAGGGCCCCCAGGCGGTGGAGGGCGGCACGGAGCTTACGCTGGCGGAGCTGCGCCGGCGGTGCGCCGAGCGGGGCCTGCTGCAGGGCGGCGGCGAGAGCCTGCTGCGAGCGCGGCTCGCGGTGTGCCCCGGCTCCGTGAGGCCGTCGGCCGCGCGGAGGCCGCCGAGCGGGCCGGCAGCGTCGCCCGAGCAGGCTGCCGCGCTGCCGCGCGCCGCCGCCGCCGGGCAGGTGCCGCGGTCGCCCCTGCGGCAGTCTGGGCACGACAAAAAGGGCCACAACCGCAGCTCGGTGGGGTTTTCGAGAGTGCCCCGCGCCCAAGACCTCAGCGAGCTCGGCATGAACATTTTTAGTTGTGGCTGTGGTCGACTTTGCCGCCCTGTGGCGCCACGTCGACCACAGCCAGCACCGAGTTGACTTCGGTGTTCCGACGCCCGTTGGCGTGAGCCGGACATCCCCCAGGGTACCCGGGGGATGTCCTGTACCGCAACCACATCGAGGGCACACCCTACGTCCCCGCTCGAAATCAAGCGCAAGTTTTTCCCGCGACGTGGCGGCGCCCCAAGACCCCAACATGTCAGTGTTCGCGCCGAAATTGGCGACTGGAAACGGACAAATCTGACGCCGTGGGCCGCGTTCCGCGCGTTGACCAACATTTAACATTTGCGTTTGATTTCGAGGAGGGTTGTAGGGCCTAGGGTGTGCCCTCGATGTGGTTGTGGTCGCTTGCTATCCCCGCAGGCAGTCTGGGCAGAATCGAAGAAGAAATGCTGACATGAACTTGAACCTTCGGAGGTCCAGGCGGATTTCTCGTATTGGCGCTGGGCCCTCCTGGCGGCGCCTCTGGCGCCACACTCTGGCGCGCTCCGAACGCCAGGGAGGTGTGGGGGGTCCAGCGCCGATCCAAGGAATCAGCGAGGACCTCCGAAAGTTTTAGTGATTCTGTCATCGCTTGTTCCTCGAACAGAAGCCCACGGTCAAGCAGCTGGACCTCGCCGCCCTCCTGGCTCAGCAGGCTGGGCTCGCGGTGCCCGCCGGTGCCCTGGCCAGCTACGAGGCCTGCTCCCGGTTCATCAGCGAGGTCGGCAGCAGCCTCAGCCTGAACCCGACGGGGCCCACGCCGCAGCCGACACCGCCCAGGGCGCGCCTCACCCCAGGCAGGCCACCAGCTGGGAGGCAGCGCCGAGGTGCCGCCCGCCTGGCCCGGGAGGAGGGCGCGGAGCTGCCCGCGGACGTCTCCGTCAGCGTGGCAGCGTGCTCGCAGCTCATCTCGGCGGCGAGCGAGGGGGGGAAAGGCGAAGCACAAGGCCTCCTCAGTAGACGAGGGGACTTCTCAGAAGCCCGCGCGCCTTCCGAGAAGTCTTCTGTGTCTTCGGGGAAGGCTTAGAACTCTTCTTTGAAGTCTGGGGGACTTCCGAACCCTCTGAGAAGGCCCGCCCCTTCTCTCTTCCCCCCCCGGGCTCGCCGCCGATCATGCGCGACGTAAAGGGTGGCCGCGGCCGGACGCCGACGGGGCCTCCTGCAACGCCGAGCGCTGGTCTGCGGGGGCCCTGACTTCTCCCCCCGTCGCGGCCGCGCAGGCGGACGTCTTCGAGCTCCCAGCCGGCCTCACTGCCGCAGCGCACTGTGCGAGAGCGACTGGAGAGGCCACCGCTGCGAGGCCCGCCGATCGCGCAGCCCTGAGGGATCCAGCTGCGTGGCCAGCACCATCGACGGGATCGCGCTACTCGCCACTCCATACGGACAAGTTCCATCGAGGGCCCTCCAAGTTCCAACAGGGCCTCACAGGGGGGCTGTGAGCCGACACGGTCGCCACTCAGCTGCAGGTGGAAGAGGACGAGACGAGGGCGCAGCAGGAATCAGGGGCCCACCTGAGACCGTGCAGCACGAGGGCCACGAACTTCGGATCGTCCATCGAGGCTCGAGGCTCATCGACCCTCGAACTTCGGATCGACGAGCGAGGCTCCAACATTCAAGCCGCAGCCGAAGTCCAGCTGCCGCGGAGCATGGCGCCCAGACGCACAGGCGGCGCCCCCCTCCGGCGAGCCAGAGCCGCGCCCGGCGGCGAGCCAAGGCAGGCACGAGGTGGTGCCCTCTGAGGGAGGTCGCCGATGGCCTGGTGGGTGCATGCAGGGAACATCAAGTGAGAAGGAACGGCACAAACATCTGGTCACGAATTCTGGTTCAGCGCGTCGCGCCGCCGATTCTGGCCCACCTTCGGAGTCACACGCTGTCCGCGTCCCCATTCCGAAGCGTCAACGTCCCGAGCTCTTCTTCGCCTGCCCACCCCGCGGAGCGGAGCGACGCGCTATCCGCTCGCGGGGCACAGCGTGCCGCTGGGGCCGCCGCCGCGGCACGCTAAGCACAAGTTCCCGACCGTAAACAGCGTTGGGCACCCCTGGCAGCGTCTCCAGCGCGCGGCCCTGGCGCGCTCCGCGCGCAGGGGAGGGGGCTGCAGCACGGATCCAGGCAATCCGCGCGGGCCTCCGAAGATGTATGGTTATGCCGTTGCTTCTCCCTCTCATGCATGCAGCATGCCCTTCTTTAATTGGCGGCTCTCTCGCCCCTTAATTAGAGAACCACTCGTGGTGAGTAGCGCCCAGCGTTGTCCCATCCAGGAGCTCCACTGGGGACGACTTCGCCGATCCGCGCCAGTGATGCCAGTCGGCGTCAGATGCGCGTCTTAGCGCCGGAACCCTTCACGAGATGCGCGCTCCTTAATTCAAGCGAAAAAAGTGATCATGTCTCCCTGGTATGATTTCTCCCGTCCTCCAGGCGCGTCCTCGCCGACGGCAGGTTGGCGCCGCGTCAATGCGGCGACGCCGGCGCGGGCGTTCAGGGCTGAAGCCGACCGCGGCTTGAGCCAGTCCAATGTTGAAGAATTTCCGATGTGCGACCGCGGACGCGGTGTCAGAGGCAAGCGTCCGCTCGAGGTGGCCACCTTCTTCAGACTTCGGAAAGACGGCGGCGCTCTCGCGCGGCATCCCTGGAGGTGGGGGTCGTGGATTGGGAGGAGCACGGTTCCTGACAGAGGACAGGGTGTGAGGGCAGGTTGGTGGCGGCTCTCCCGCCACTCAGGGAGTGGAAGAGGGTGGGCAGCGCGCGGTGCTGGACAGAGGCACGGGGTGCTGGTGGGGCACGGTGCGTTGGAGCGTCGTCGAGTGGAGCCCGTTGAGGCTGGTGTACTTTTGAAGGGCAGGGCGGTCTTCACTGGCACTCGCGCAGGGCGAGCTTCGGAGTGGCGGAGCAGGACAAATCGAGCGACGCACAAAAAGGGGTCGTCTGCGCCGACATTGGCGCGGAAGCTGCCCGCGGAAGCTTGCGCGGAAGCGCCTTCGCTTCCAAATTTGGCGTGCCGCGCAGGTGGTCCGCGTAAGCCACCGCGTAAGATCGCTATGCCATCTCGCGCAAGACCCCCCGCTCATGATCGTCGCCGAACTGGTCTCGCAGGCATCTCGGGGACACCTACGGCTTCCAGAGCATCATCGCGTACTTCCCCAAGTTGGACGTGGGCCTGTCGGTGATGACCAACCACGAGGACCGCCTGCAGCGCGGGCCCAGCCGCGAGCTCAGTTATCGGCTGTGTGTGATGTCCCTTGCCTGCCAGGCGTATACTTACATGGGATATGTGGGGCGTTCTAAAAAAGAGGCCTTGCCTTCGAGGATTCAAGGCGTTGTCATCTCTTCCGCGGCGGAAGGCGGCGGAAGGGCGACGGAAGGTCGGCGGCGGTAAAACGGGGCCGCCTCTGCGGGCGGAAGGCGGCGGAAGTAAAATTTGCGCCCCCAAGATATGACAACGTTTTTGGGCTCAGGGTTTCCGAAATCGCCCATGTCGGGTTTCCAGCGTCGCATGCCCTGGTGTGTTTGCTCGGGGAGCCAAAATAGTGCTGGTAGTGGATTCTGTCAGATGGACATGTGGGTGCGGACTTCGTGCTAAAAAATATCCAGCTGCCTGCAACAACCCCCGCCACTGTGCCTGTGCAGCAGGGCAGCCTGAAGGAGACTGAGTAGTGTACTTCACATCCCTTGTTGAGCATCCCCCGGGGCCGGTATATTAAGGCGCCTTTTTTCCAAGTGGGGGGAGGCCGGAATATTAAGGCAGTTTCGCGTGACCGAAGCGAAGGGGGGCCGGAGAATTTTTGGCGTTTTTTGAATGGCCATGTTGGGCAAGAGGTTTGAAGTTGACCTTCAGGATGGCCCCTAATACATTGAACATCTGTTTCAAGACCGAACTCGATGGCGATCATGATGTTGGTGTGAGATTGTGAACATGACGGTGATGAGAATGATGGTTAAGGTAACAGCGGTGATGGTAATGATGGTGGTGATGATGACGACGATGGTGATGACGACTGTAACGCTTGATTCTTCGTTCCACGCTGGTTGTAATCACTATTGGGGCCGCCACCGCAATCGCAGCCAGACTGTGCATATCTATATATATATATATAATCACGTATGAATATATGTGCGTGTTTGTGGCGTATATATATACATATATATATGTATAGATATGGCGCCTGCACCACAGCATCGCATGCACGATCATGGTGTTCATCGCATTGATCATACTTGTTGTCGACGTCGCAAACCGACAGAGTTCAGATCACCAATACAATCACCACTGTGTAACCGCAGCCCCATCATGTCCACCAGCTTGACTACAACGCTCAACTTTCCCAGAGGGGGGGCCAGAATATTAAGGCGCCTCCCGTGGATGGGGAGGCGGAGTATTACTGTGCCGAAGCAGGGGGGGGCCAGTCTTTTAGGGGGGGCCGTTTAATAAGGGATGTGGAGTAGGAACAGCGCAATTCCGACGACTGGTCTGACCTGGGACAGATCGCGAAGTCAACCTCGGCTTCGTCCGCGCGATAGGGGGAGGTCGACTTCACGTCCCGCTGCAGTTCAGCGAGCGTTCTGACCTGGGACGGATCGCGAATTCGATCTCATCTTCGTCCGCGCGGCAGGGAGGAAGAGGACGAGCAGGAGGAGGGGGGAGAACGTACACATAGTGGGCTCTCTGGGGATCTCTTGGGGGCCACTTGGGGCCTCTTGGGGTCTCTTGGGCCGTCTGCGGGGGGGGCCCTGGCCCGCCTGACGCCTTCGCGGCCCGTCTGGGGGGCCCCGCTGGGCCGTCTTGGTGCCCTCCTGGGGCGCTTGGGGCCGTCTTCGTGGGCGATCTTGAGCCCTCCTGGGCCAACTTGGGGCCCCCTTTGGGGGCCTCGTGGGCTGTCTTGCAGCTATCGTCGAGGCCTCTTGGGTCGTCTGGGGCGGTCGGGGCGCCAAACAGGTGAGAACCTGAAGAACAGTCGAACGACACGTGGCAACCAATGGGGTTCGCTTCCTCGGAGGTCTCTTGGGGCCTCTTGGGAGTCTCTTGGGGCCTCTTAACCGTCTTGGGGAGCTCTGGGCCCGCCTGTCGCCTTCGGAGGCCATCTTTGGGGCCTTTCTGGGCTGTCTTGGTGCCCTCTTGGAGCCCCCCCCCCTTGGGAGGCGTTGTGGCGACCTTGAGATCCTCTTTGGCTGACTCGGGCTCCTCTTGCCTCTTGGGCCATCTTGGGCGGTCGGAAACAGTTGACCCAACCAGGTGAGACCCCTTAAAAATGTCCCAGCAACCATCTGGAAATCAATGCTTGTCGCCTTCTCGGGGGGGGGGGGGGGGGCCTTTTGGGGCGCCTTGGGCGCCTCCTTGGGTCGTCTTAGGGGGCTCTTGGCCACTCTGTCGCCTCCGGATCGTAGGGGGCCTTTCTAGGCCGTCGTGGTGCCCTCTTGGGGCGTTTTGGGGCCGTCGTTGTGCCCTCTTGGGAGGCTCTTGGGCGATCCTTGGCCCTCTTGGGCCGACTTGGGGCCTTCACTGGAGGGATGAAAAACCACACGGACCAGATAACTGGCGTTTACTAAACGGCCCTGGGCGTTTGCTAAACAACGCTGCCCTGTTCGATTCTTTCTTTTGGGTGCGTTTACTAAACGGCTTCGCATGTCGGAGTGATTCTTATGAGGGGGGATTTTCTGCTTTCTGTTATTTTGGGACCTCATGCGCTCTCTTGGAGATATATTGGGCCGTCTTGTGCGGTCGGAAACCGCAAAAGGCGAGCACCTCAACATCTTTCGAAACCACATGGGCATCAAGGATGTTTGCCTGCTCGGGCTCTCCTGGAGAGCATCTTGGAGCCCTCTCGGGCCGTCTTGGGTGCGTCTTGGGCTTTTGTTGACGTCTTGGGAGCCTCTTGACTCGTCTTGGGCCATCTCGTGCCGTCTTGGTGTCATCTTAGCGGTCTTGGGGGCCATCTTGGAACCCGTCCTGGCCGCCGGGCTGCCGAAGGAAAGGACGGACAAAGCTACTTCGGGGGCGGCGTTCTCGGGACGACGTGCCCGTCGGAGAGGGGGGGGGGGGCGGCGGCCCTGGACGGCAAGCGGGCCTTCTGACGCGCCCGCTCCGTGCACAGTGCCGTTTTCAATACGTGCTCCGCGTGCGGATCATGTATTAAAAATGCAGGGACTTAGCATCAGAAACAAACAACGATGAGTTCATGCATCAATCTATTCCTACATGGATCATGCATTACAAATCCTATGTTTTTTGTTCATCCCATGTATCAAAAACTGCTCTGTACTGCGCGGTCGCGGGTCGGGCGGCCCCAGAGAGCAGGTCAAAAGACCTCCCATAGACAACACACGCGGGGCCCTGCGAGCCCGCGCATGTTCCGTGCCGGCACGGCGGCGGATTTTTTCCTGCGCGGTCGCGGGTCGTCGTGCAGCTTGCTTTAAGTTGGGCTTGTCCCCCTACAAGGGGGTTTTTGACGAAAAATGTTAAGACAAAAATGCACCAAAAAGGTAATGAAAACAAATATCCCAAAAATGGTCCCCAGACTATTTTTGGAGTATTTTTTCACCATTTTGGGGTATTTTTTTGTCGAAGATCCCACTGTAGGGGGACAGGCCCGACTGACAGCTCCGACGCGCGGTCGTCCAGTGCTTGGCGCCGAAGCGCCGACGCGCGGGCCGCCCAGTGCTTGGCTGTCGGCGGAAGCGGTTCTGGGAGGAGGGGGAGGAGGAGGAGGAGGAGGAGGAGGAGGAGGAGGAGGAGGAGGAGGAGGAGGAGGCCTGGGAATGGGCACCACCACCAACACACGGGCATGCCTCAGCCAGGGGAAGATGGCCCCAGAAGTCGGTGTTGGTGGTGTTAATTTCGGCCACCTGGGACGCCAGAAGATCGCCACCACCACCGAGATCGGGAGCACCTTCCCTCGTTGGAGGCACACCGCGGGTACCTGGTGTTGGTGTCAACCTCCAGGCCTCCCAGGTTTGGATCCACTGAAGCGCGAGAGGGCGCGCAGGGCCCTCTTGATGCAGTTGCCCTCGCCCTTCCAGCCGCGGTGCCGAGGCGCCCTGCTGTGCACGGCGTACAACAGGGCGTTGGACCTGGTGTTGCACCAGCCTCTGCGCAATTGCTCCTACGTGAAGGAGAAGTACTATCGAGGGTGCCTCCTGGCGTCCCGCCCAGGGCCGTTCGGATGCGCTATCGTAGGCCCATCGCCGGTTAATCGGCGATGTATCGCCGATTCTGGTTCAATGATCCCCCCGCTGGGCCAGAGCGGCAGGGAGAACCTGCGGCGCGATTGCTCGAGGCGCTGGAGGAATGAGACCTCCTGGTGTCCGAGTCGTGTCCGCGGCCTGTCCTGGAGCGCATTCTGGGCAGAGGCTCGATGGGGAGCCCTGCCGCAGCGAACCCAGGGCGCCCCTGAAGGCCCCTGGAGGCCCCCAGAGGGGCCCGAAGACATCCGAGTACAAATTTCCTGCATGTCTGGGAAGCAAGAGCACTCGGGGAACCCCGCATTCGAAGAAGAATCTGCAGAGCATACACACGAACTTTTGACGCTCCGCGCGGATTTCTTGGATCCGCGCTGAGGCGTTTTGGTGACGCCGCCTGCGGCGCCCCTGGCGCGCTGCGGAGAGGGGCCCGGCGCGGATCCAAGAAATCCGCGCGGACCTCCGAAATTTGTCGTTGCTCCACTCGGGGCTCCCCACATTGTGACGTCTCGTTCTCATCGATGAGGGAGCTGTCAGCTTTCGGGTACATGGGCATCCCCCTGCCGAGGATCTGGCGTCGGGCAACAAACAAGTGCACTTCCGCGGGGAATCACGACTAGAGCCTTCGAAAGTTCATATATCTGCCGCATCTCTCGAGACGGATACGGCTCCGCGAGGCTCCCACAGGGGGCCCGAAACCGAGCGATATAACCCTAACCTCCATAGTCTGTGAACAACATTGCGACACCCGGATCTCAGATCTAGAAAAGTCCAATGGGGGGGTGAGGACTGTGGGTGTGTGGATGCCGTGGCCGGGGCCACGATATCTCCCCATACAGTGGAGACCCATGCCAAGAAGCACCCTGCTTGCCTCCAGGGTGCCCTGGGTTTCTTGGGTTTCGATGGTTTTGCGATGGGAAGCGTGACGCTCCCACACCAAGAGTCAATGGACGTCCTGGGGCCTCCGGGTTGGCTTCCTCGTGGAGGCTCTCTTGTGGTCGAGCCCCTGTGTGTACCTCCCCAGATGTCATTGCCCCCTTCGATGGCACCGGCGTCTCGTCAGCCTAGCTGCTCTCCTGCACAGGACAGGCCTCCTGGATGAGCACCATGTGGTGCCAGGCCACGACTGCCCCTGGCGAAGGCCCCGCAGCCCCCACTCGTCCGCGCGCGTGCCCCGCGCCCGATCCTCGGGGCCCTCCCCTTGCCGGGAGCCCCCCCATGCTGGCGGCGCGCAGCCGGGGGCCTCGCCGCGCCCTGGGGGCGCCTGCCCCCCGCCTGCGTGGGCCCCCCCGGGAGGGAGGCTCCGAGCACCGGCTGGGGCCGAAGGCTCGCGCCGCAGCGCCGAGGCACCGGCGGTGCGGCTGGATGCGGATGGGGGGCCACATGCGAAGCCTGCCCCTACGCCCCACGATTTCCGAGGGGGAGGGTGGGGTTCACTTCGCCCGGGAGCTCCCGAACGAAGAGAACCCCCGCCCCCCCTTAGAAATCGTGGGGGGCGGGGGTAGGGTTCGCATGTGGCCACCGAGCTGGATGCGGCGCCCGGTGTTCTCCTCCAGGCCTCCCAGATGGGGTCCGAGCAGCTGGGCGGGAGGATCGCGCCGCATCCCCGATGCATCGCCGACGCATCGCCGATGCGGCTCGATGTGGAGCCCGATTTTCTCCACGCCGACGGCGCCCATGCACCGCCGACGTCGCGGGCGCATCGCCAACGCATCGCCGATGCGGCGGGATCCTTCGACCCCATCTACTCGGGCCCCATCTGGGGAGCCTCTAGATGCGGAGCCTGGTGTTCTCCACCAATGTCAAGGTTCGGCCAGCTGTACTCACCTTAGCCATACAGCTGCCACACCCCTACAGCCCCACCTCATTGCACTACAGGCTTCGATTGCCCTCTGGGTGCTCGTGGGCTCTGCCACTTCAACTCCGCGCAGGTACCGGCCATTTGGGGGGCTCTGGTGAAATATGCGTGCGGGCAGGCCCACAGTGGCTGGCCACCCCACGGGAGGCAGGGCCTCAACGCCGAGCGGAGCCTCGCCTCCAGAGTCCACTCCACGAGATGGACGGCGCGCCGCCTGGTGCAGCAGCGGCTGAAGGACTCGGGCCGGCACCGCGTCGTCTGGAATAGTTACTCTGGAGGGTCATACGGAGCAGCAGCTGCTCCCGCAGATGACGACATGGACGACGATGACGGTGAAGACGAACCAGTAACCGCAGAAGATCTCTCATGATGCCTTTCCCCCCCCTGAGCTCTCGGCTGGCAATTACAATCGTCCCTCTCCCCCCTCGTGCTTCCCCTCCAAGCGTCCATCCAGAATATGTTCACGAAACACGTGGCGCCTACGATGTGCGCTGTGCGATGGTTACTAATACCACGCCACGTTCAGCACACAGCGCGTCTCCCTCACGACTGAATTAGACAATGCATTGCAAGACCTTCCAACGAAATACTGCGGACTTACATTTGCAAGGACTCCAAAAACACACCAATCGAGCGAATACCTACATCGAGCAGGGGAAACGTTCAGCCACGGCAGTTTTCGGTGACTTGACAAATTTCGATTCTGAGACCTCCGCGATCGCGACATGCGGCAGCAACAACCGCAAATGAACGGTCATATCCCAACACATATGCATGTGAAAAGGTGAAATAGCAAACATGTGTTAGAGTTCTGGGATGTGCTGATCATTTCGGAGCAAACGCTTACAATGAGGCACACTTTGGGCACGCCAAGACTGGGATGCTTCGGACAGAGTTTCCCGCAATTTTGCATTGTGCCTGAAATGCTTACTCGAGGACGGCATTCAGAGCGCACTTATCATACAAGTATCCGACAGTGCACCTTACCAAGTACATGTCGGAGGGCGACGGGCGCTAGTCGTGCATGTTAGCGCTGGTTATTTCAACCTGGAGTGGGCAGAGGACTGGAAGAATTGGGGTGACTTGCAAAACCACCCCGAAATTTCAAGTATGGTGGATAATTGTAGCTCCCTAGTCCGCCGGTCCCGGGCAGGGACGAAAGGAGAGGTGACAGGGCAGCCGAATGGGAAGACGAGCAAGTAGAAGATACTAGCGGCATTTGGTCTGGCTGACGGCGGCACCGATTCCGCAGCGCGCGAAATCATACAGGAAATGTCTGGCTATGTTTCGATGTTGCCTCCATTCAAACTTGAACACGAAAGGTGAGATGTGGATGGGGATACAGTCGCCAACTCTTCACCTGACCGCCCGGACATGGGCAAAGTGACCATTACCAGGAACAGCGTAGCCGACGACGCCACGCTGCACAGCCATGCCGCCCCCACTGGAATAGGCAACGACACCGTTCAGTCGTCCTTGAATGCGCACCGAGTGCAAGTTTCACCGTCCACTGCCTCCCTCTTCGCCCTCGCCGTCTTTGGCAACCTTCCTCTAGTGTGCTACTTGGAACGTGCCTGGCCTCACAGAGACCAAAGGCATATAGTAGACCAGACACATGCAGCACTACAGCATGGGTGTGCTTTCCATTTTAAGACGCAAGGGCCTTTGAAGCTGACGTGTACCAGCACTTTATGGCGTGCGATGACACATTCAATCGTACAAGCAAGTGTTGGAACGGATATGCAGTCGTAATGAAGTTATGATTGGCGTATTCTTCGTAAACGCTCCGTACAGTCTTTAAGCCCTTGCCTGGACCTGCCATTACTTATCACGCATTGGACAAACGATCCGAGCATGCCGCGCGAACGCTGGGAATTTGATTCAGGGATAACTTACTGAACACGTTGGCCAAGCGCATTCTGAAGGAGAATACGTTCGTGGAGACCATGACTGGGGGCGGGAAGCTGCGCGCGGAGTGGCATCACCGAGTAGATCGTATTCATAATTCTGCATGGGCGCAGGACTTGTGGAAACTCAAACTTTCAAATTGCAAATTCTGGACATGAAAATTACATTCCTCGAGGCTGTGGGGGGGCGACCGTTCGCTACTATCAAACCGGCAACCCAGCATGTTTTGGATTATCGGGGCGGTTGAGATTATTTGAAGAGTTTGGCAGCCACCAAGGAGCGACATAGGCTACAGACCACTATTTGTATCATGGCCAATGCGGCTTGGAATTCCGCCTGTCGTCACCGAACACATGCAAGGCTACGACAAACAACGTTCGAACAGAAACACGTTCCCAAAGTTTTCGCGACTGTCTTCAAGTCCAGCGCGTGTGCAGTCGACACAGCACAATCGGCTTGGAAGAACATGAAACATGCGATCGTCCAGGCTGAATATCTTCTGCCTTACAGGCCGAAAACCAAAGCAGCAATGAATTACACAGAAGATTTCGGATTTGATCGGTCAAAGAAGTGCGGCACGACCTTCTCAAAATCCCACGCCATAACAGCGGGTATTCAAACAAGTAAGGAATATATCTGAAGCCACGTACAAGAAGAAGATGGACCAGAAAATGGCCGATTGATGCTGGGCCTGGCTTAACCCGCAACGCCTGTTCTGCGTGAGCCATGTGGACCCCCACTGTCTATTTCAGACAATGTCTTCTCAATGCAAGATGTGCGTGCGGCAAGCTCCAAGGTACAACAATACAAGCGTTTGGGCCAGACGAACCGTTGGGAGGCAACCCCAAAGGACTAGAGACGAGCACGCTGATCAAACAATGTTGGCAGGAAAAACTGGAAGCTTGGAGACACCTTGTTAGTGTCGACCATACACAAGAACGATGGCCTCGTGAACTAATGCGACTTATAACCCAAACAGCTTGCGAAGTGCGATGTGCAAACGATGCGCAAGTTTGTTGCCGGCTAGGCTTCAAACAGCGGGGGCCGAAGAGATGGTATTTGGGACGCAGCACGAGTTTGGGCGGGAGTTCGGCAGGACCGGTGCCATTCATGCAGCGTTCAGACATATTGAACCAGGTTGGGCCGCACGTGGGGGCAAAGTGGCGTTATTGGCAATCGATATGGGAAAAGTTTCCGGCTCGATAAACGTGGGCGCCTTCTTCAGTGCGTTCAGGAGTTTCGTTGTGCTGCCGCACATGCTGCAATTCGCTGGCCACATCTACGGTTCTCGCCACTTCCGCGTTGCAGAAGACAGGGAACAGAAGGCAACCATTTCACAAGGGGGCCGATTGTCGCCATGAAGTTCGTGATGGTTATGTGATGTCGGCATTGGTCAAAGACGTGAAGGAGAATTTGGATATCGATAGTCGACTCTCGATGGTTTGAGGGGATCTCTCACTTCTTTATTTGCGCACGACACGGTGTTGGTTGTGCGCATCGAGCACGAAGTAAGACAATTCTAAAAAGAAGTGTCCAGGGCAGGCGCCAATATGGGAATAGAGCTACGCCTGGACAAGGTAATTGCAGCAGTTCCGTTGCGAATGCGCATTAAGGACCCAGTTGGGATTTTTTTGGCGCCTACATCGCAAAGGCCATGTGTTGGCCAAGTCTTCACGACAGCAGAGATATCAAACCAGAATTGGTCCGAGATGTGGGAGCAGCATGGCGGGCATTTCAAAGACATACGCACGCGTGGAAGCACACAACGGTGAGCAACACATGCAAGTAGAAAGTGTTCGCTACTCTCGTCGCAGGCCAAGCGACGTACTCGTGAGTTCTGCGTGGCTTCACAACTCAGAGAGAAAGAGGACCGATTGATTACAAGCCCGTCGGTTGAGGCATCTGTCGGTCATTGCGCGCACCCATACATTTTTAGAGGTTCGAAGACAGCGCACTTCAAAGATCTGGTCAAGAGCCATATGCATCACAGCGTATACGAAAATAGTTGCTGCTGTCTTGGGAAGTAAGCCATCTCCGTGATACATATGCTTTGCGGCAGCTAGCGCTCCAACCAAACAGTGTCAGACAAGCGAAAGGTTCATGCATACGTCCAGTCGGGACACCCAGAAATGAACGGACCAAGGAATTACATCGCAAGTTCGACTTCGTTTCGCTTCGGACCAATACGTGTACGAGGCCACAATTGACCAGGTCAAGTGGCGAGGATTATGTGCAGAGCGCGCTGTGACAGAGGTGAAAACGATTGGCTCCAGTGTGTTCTTCTTCTTCCTCCTCATTACCCCCTTCCGTCTCAGAGTAAACCGATCCCCGGCGGTATTTTGGAGGCCACGTCAAGCCAAAATCCATTGCCATATGAATTAGTAAGATCGATGATCCCCTCGTCCCAGGCCATCTCAGCCGGACGGGGTCGCACTTGAACCACGATTGTTTCCTCACTGCCTCTCCTCATATTCCTCACCGACGATACTCTTTCTCATAATTGGTAGGCCCCTTCGCTTTGGCTTACCTATCTGTTTAAACATTTCCCCCCGTCCTCGCGACACACTGCGCATGGCTTCTCGGCTCGTCGTCGCCCAGGTATCGCCGACGTCGCCGATGCCTCAGCGAACGTCGACGATGTATCGCCGATGCGGTGCGACCCTTCGGCTCCATGAAGCTGGACCCCAGTGGGGAGGCCTCTCTCTGACCGGGCCCTCCCCAGCGGAGGCGGCGGGTTTCGGGCGCTGCCAGTGCTCGCAGGGCCGTAGTGGCACGGGGGCGGCGCTGGTGGTCTGACGCGGCGCTGCGCTGGGCAGCGCGCCTCCGCGGCGACTCCTCGGGGCGCCGCGCCCCCCGGCCCGTTCGGCGGTCGGGGCGCGCGCACCGCGGCGAGCCAGCGCGCGGCGGGGGCCCGGACCTCGCGGCGCCGCCTCGTCGGGTCGAGGGCCGAGCTGTCCGGCGGCTCTCGTCGGCTCTCTCCCTGGGAGCCTGCGGGGGGGGGGCTCCTCGTCGATCGGAGGGCACCAACTATACACCAACACCGATCCTGGCCCAGGATCACCCTGGGCCCATGATCGGTGTATATGCCTTCTTGCCCAAGGCAGGAGGGCGTATACACCGATCCTGGGCCCAGGGTGATCCTGGGCCCAGGATCGGTGCTGGTGTACAGTTGGTGCCTTCCTATCGTCGCCACGCCCCAGGCCTCCAGCGGCGCGAGATGTGTGTGCCGTCTCGTGGGTCTTCCTGCGATTCGGCCTCCGGGGCCCCGGGGGATCGACCATCGCCAACGGACCCCGGGCACAGATTTGGGGGGAGGGGTCGGGAGGGCCGGGGCCGCAGATTGACAGCATGTCGGAGGATGTCCGGGTGGCTCCGCCTCGACATGCCGGGGCCAGGTGCGCCCGACGAGAGGTGCGGGCTGTTGATGGGGAGAGGCAAAAGAGGGCTCCGGACCTGCAGACGTCCTTGAGGAATCAGGGCGGCGATCTTCGGAGCTGCCCCTAGGAGCGATTCCTAGCTGGGCCCGTGGCCATTAACTATTTTAGTCGGGCATGTCCCTCTGTAGTAGGAATGTTCAAAAATAGTAAAAATAGTTTGGGGGCGATGTATGGATTATTGGTTGGCTATTTCTGGTTATGTTTGACTAGTTTTTATTTGTCGTCCAAGATCCGCCTGTAGGAGGACATGCACGACCTAAGGCTATTGATTTAACGGCCCAATCTTGTAAAAACGAGCCTGGGCGGTAGGGGTCACAGCCCGGGGGGGCCGGCGATTCAGAAATTGAGCTTTCGGCGGTCGAATATAGGAGGACCACCACAGCCACGATTTTGGGGCTCCAAGGCGGGTTCAGGAGCGCTGGTGGTGGATTCATTTGTTGTAGGGCGCTCTCACGCGGCACGTGCGCGTGTTCAGGACGGAACGCAGCAGTTGTTGCATTTTGTAGGCGAGATCTGTGTCTGTGCACAGACCTCCAGCGTCTTGAAAATCAAGGCGGTGCGAGCCAGAAAACGACTCAGGATGAAGAGTTGGCTTTGGGGACGTTGGGCATCTATTAGGCCCCGCACCAAAAAAGACAGTGTGCATCGGATCCCTCTGGGCGGACTGTGGTCGGGAGGCCTTGGGTTAATTACCAGCCTGAAACAGATCCCTGTCCTGAGATTGGCATCGCCTCGTCTTGAGGCTGATCTCCAGGATTCCTACAGTCTATGAAGGCACATCCCTGAGACTAAGACTCTCATCGCCTCGGGCTCGGCAAGATCGGGGATAGGCATAGGCTCGAGGATGGTTGACGTTCGCCCCGGAATTTGAGAGGGAGAACCACCCCAGTCCTTTCTAACAGTGTTTCTGGCAGCGAGGGATGGATTGTTATGCCCCCTTCGGTATTGCGACCCGCAGCCGGCGTCTCAGTTGTTGCGGCCTGCTATGATGCGCGTGCTATCGAGAGACGCGGCTCTGGGGATCTCGGCCGCTGAGATTGTGTTTGCGTGCCGCATGTGTCGGCCTCGCATGACTCAGGCCTCGCGTTATTCAGAAGGGAACCGTAGACACATGGCACGCAAACAAGAATGTTCAGGAAAGTACGGGAAGCGGATGGGTCATTGGAAATCCAGGGCATGCTGACCATATGGGAAACATTTAAATGTGGATACATTTATGTGTGTCTCCCTCGGCCTGCTTCATCTCATTGCGTTCGGTCCATCCCGCCAACGTGCCTGGGTTTGGGGTCTGAGGCCTCTTGGATGTTCGTTGGGATCTCGTCGAGTCTTCTCGGGGGCCTTCTGGAGTCAGGCTTGAGGCTTCTCGGGGGCTGTTTTGGGGCCTCTTCGGATCTCTTGTGGGCCTCTTGGGGCCTCGTGGTGGGGATCTCGTGGTGGGGATCTCGTGGGGGCCTCTTGGGGCTTCTTGAGGCCTCCTGAGCGCCTCTTGGGGCGGGAGGCTAGGATTTTTGTCAGTTCGTGTTCCCCCTTCTGGGGGCCATCTTGAGCGCCTATTAGGCCGTCTTGGGGCCCTCTTGGGCGGCCTTGGGGGCTCCTTGGGACGTCTTTGAGCGTCGGCGGCTCGAAAAGTGGATAGCCCAAAACACACACACACACACACACACACACGGCGGGGCGCGCCGGGCGTCGTCCGTGTCCTGCTGCCCTCCGAGTGGCCTTGTCTCCCGCCCCTCCGCGGCCGCCCCCCGTGCCCTCCTCTCGCCCTTGCACGTTGGCCAAGTTTACCAGCCGGGAACCTATCCCTATCCCTATGCTGGGCACCTCCTCATTACGATGCCAATCTCAGGGATTCCCTTCTTTTTTGCGGGCGAACCCCTAAGATTGCCATCGCCTCTTGGCGCGTCAGTCTTAGGGATAGGGGTACGTTCGAGGCTGGTAACAAGGTCGCTGTTCGGGGTGGCCCCGTTTGGCTCCATCGCTGGCGAAGCCAACGCTGCCTCGCCGCCGACGGAGAAAAAGGCCGTGCTGCCCGGCGTTGGAGCCGTCTGGGGGCCTGCGGTGGCCCAGCGTCGGTTCCGGCCAGCAGGGGGGGCGGGCAGGCCCGAGGCGCCGGGTCCGGGAAGGTGTTTGTCCTCGTTTCGGCCTCTCCGGGGGCCCTCTCCGGTCACCCCCGGGACCGATGTTGAACTCTAGGCTTCCTAGGTCGGGTCGGAGGATTGCGCTGCATCGCCGATGCGGCTCGATGTTGAGCCCGAGTTGCTTCACGTCTACGTCGCCGATGCATCGCCCACGCCGACGATGCGTCGCGGGTGCATCAACGATGCATCGCCGATGTATCGGCGATGCGGCGCAATCCTCCGACCCCATCTACTCCGACCCTATCTAGGAGGCCTCTATGAACGGATTTGGCTTCATCCAGTAGAGGGGAACAATCAGTGGACACTCCCCCGCTCCCCCAAACTCAAAGTTGGCACGCGCGGGGGGAGACTGCGGTCGAAGTGGAACTCCTCATGCCCACCGCCGACTTTGAGCAGTATGGGGGGAGGGGGAGGCGTGGACCGACGGCTGTGGTATGCATGCTTGCTATTTTTCCCGCGGCCTGCCCCCCTCCTTCAGGAGGAAAAGAACTACACAGACACAATTAATCTTCGATTCCCCAGAAAATATGAGAGAATATGGGAAGTGGGGGGGAAGACAGAAACCCAGAACATATAAGGGAAACATGGGGAATCTGCTTCTTTGTGTGTACTTGTTTGTGTGTGTCTTGGGGCCCCTTCACTCCTGAGCGACTCTGCCTCGGGGCCCAGCCAGTTCAGCCCCCCCCCCCCCGGCCGCCTCCCACTTCTGCACGCGTCCGCCGCGGCGGCGGCCGGCTGCGCGCCCGCGCGGAGCGCGCCGCGGAGCGCGCCGCGGAGCGCGCCGCGGAGCGCGCGGCGCGCGGGCCGAGGCGCGGGCCCCTGCCGGGGGGGGGCGCCCGCGTGCGGGCGGGCCGCCGAGGTGCGCGTGCGCGCGGGTGCCCGGGCGTCGTCGTCGTCGTCTTCGTCGCCGTCGCCGTCGGCGTCCGCCGTCCCTCCTCGTTCGTTTTCGTCGTCCTCGTGCTCGTCGCCGTTTTCCTCGTCCTCGTCATCGTTTCCGTCGTCGTCGTCGTCGTCGACTACACCGGGCCTGCTCGTCATCGTCGTCATCGGCCTGGGGCCCGCCCTCGGCCAAGCAGTGGCGAAGCGTCCCGGCTCGCCTATCGCCCCACCAGACAATGTGCTAAGAACCTCTTGTGGTTTCCTCGAAATGTTCTTAGAACATTTTCTGGCTGGGACTGTCTAGTTTTAGCACACCGGGCTTATGTTCCACGGCCATTGTTTTGTTCTTGGAACATTGTTGCGTTCTAAGAACATTTCGTGGTAGGACTATAGGAATGCCGGGACGGTCGGTCCCTGCTCAATCGGGGCTCAGGAGGCGGGGGCCAATGCAAGCGGGGGTCAGCCAGGGCGGCGGATCGTGCGGGAGCTGGCAGAGCCAGGAGAGCGCTGGCCGGGGCCTGGGTGCAGGAGCCTGCAGGAGCCTGCAGGATAATTATCGCAGGATCCTGCACGGCCTGCCCGGCCCGGGTTTGGACTGACCCGGGTCAGTAGACCCCCCGACGCGCTGGGCTTGCGTTTGAAAGCCCGAAATGGGTACGGAAAACTGGGTGCAATGCCCAACAGCACATGTTGTCCAAAAGCGACAGCGGCTGCTGTTGGGCAGGCGGATTGTTGTCTTCAGTGTACAACGCCCGCGGCGGCGCGGACAGCGAGCCTTGTTCAACAAGAATTGCTGGTGGGGATCGTACCCATGATTTCTGTACCTATTCATAGTCCCGATTGTGTCGCGGGCCCCCAGTCGGGGAAACGTAAGATTCAAGTGCGCCAGAATTTGGGTGTGCCGACGAGTTTCGACGAGCGTGTCCTGGAGTTTGACGGTCCAGTTTTCGTGGGATGTTTGTTTGCAGCAGGAGTTCGCGTCAGAGTTCAGAGTGGGTCGCGTCATTTTCATGATTGCCCCGTCTGGCCAACCCGACCCCCCTTAGCCCGAGTCTCACGTCTCCCTGGCCCAAACAGTTTGGTGACGACACCGCGTGGTGAGCCAGTGGGGATGCGGAGTCACCGCACGGCTCGGGGATTCGGGCCGTTCTCCGGGGACGCCTCGAGCGACTGGGGCCTTCAGGGTCCCAGGACCGTGCTGTGACGGACCGCGCGGTGACGGACAGCGCGGTGAGGTCGTTGGGGATTCCGAGGTCACCACGCGGTCCGTCACCACTCGGTGTTCGGGTCCCCACCCGAATTGTCTTGTGGCCC